CAGCTGGCCCAGGAGCCCTGTCGGAGAGGCCTGCCCAGCCCCCTAGGCGGGCGGCCCATCATGCTCCTGCTGTCGCCCCGCAGCGCGCTCCTCTCCGTCTATTGCCCGCAGATATTTCTCCTCCTGTCCAGCGGCAGCTACCTGTGAGTGCCGCGGGCGTCGTGTGGGGGGGCGGGTGGTGACACCTGGTCCTCAGTGCTGGAGGGGAGCGGGCAGGGAAGTGGGCAGTGAGGCCCCAGGGAGGGGTGCCGGCGGGGGGTCCCTCGCATAGGAAGGAGGCTGGGGATCTTGGATTGCCTATGCCGAGGTAGCGCACCTGGGGACCAACTGTGGCAGGGAGAAGTTCAGCTGTGGGGTCAGAGAACGTGTGGCATCCCACTGCCCGCGTAGGCTGTAAGCGCGGAGAGGTCGCGGCAGAGTGGACAGTCCCAGCGAGTCCCAGCCGAGTCCTGAACGGGAGGGGGCCTCTCCCTGTATCAGCCTACGAGGTGCACGTGAGAGTGCACACTGGAGAGAGCTGCGCGCACACACCCGCTTCCCTACCCACACACTGGCGCACTGCACCCGAGGCCCCATCAGACAGTGCCCAGCCTGTACACCAGTGTTACTGTGGCTTCTCGCGCCTTCCTGCTGGGCTGGGCGGCCAGACCTCTGCTCGGGTGGACTCCTCACCTGCGGGCAAGGAGGGCTTGCAGCGTGAGAGAGCGGCGGCCGCGCGCCAGTGTCAGCGCGCAGGGAGCAAGCACAGCTCGGGGGCGCGCGGGCATTGGGCAGGGCAGCGCCCACCAGCCTACGGGAAGCCGGGGCGGCCCAGTCCGGCCCAGTGAGCCGAGGGGGCGCGTCCGCACAGCGGTGGCTTCGCCCGATTCCTAATAGGACGCATATGCTCTGGCCTCCGATTTAAAAAGAAGTTTGATTTATGGAACCGCCGTTTGGGGGAATTTAAGCTGGATGCTACTGATTAAACCTCAGAGCCAGCGCTCCCTCCCTCTTGCCTCCCCTCCCCCGCCCCCTCCTTTACACGCGGGCCACGTCCGGGGTCGCCTAACGCGGCCAGAGGGGACAGCCGCCTCCGTTCCCGCGCCACCCCCTCCACCGCGCGGCCTCAGTCCTAATAAATCGCCGCACCCCACCCCCTTTTTAATAAATACACAGCCAATTCCTCCTCCAGCTCC